TTTTGAGGATGTTCTCGGAGGATGGTCCCTTCAATGATGCAGATACCTCCGGATCGGACTGATTCTATGGGATTGGTGAGTTTAACTACCGAGATCGCCATCTCATCAGATCCTACCTCGTGCCCCTGCTGAAACCATGCCGGAGATAAATTAACGCATCCGGGAGTTAGGACATCATTTTCCGAGCTTGGTGTGAACCACTGTTGATTAGTCCGCCAAATCCCATCGAGCTTTATGCTTTGTTCGAGCATGGGAGCTAGCAAATCCGAGGCCGCCCCAAATTTCATTCTGTACGTACCATTTGATGTTCAATATCCATCCAGTCACAATATATATAACACACCTGGGTGGCATCGGTCAAGGCGTCTGGGGAGGTACCATGCGATGATGGCACCGGATGCATCAAGAATTGTCGCGGGTATGTCGATCAACTTTGTGCCCTCATGGCCAGGAGGACACCTCTCAAGCAACTTTTCCTCTCTCTCTTCATTACGCCCCGTGTCCTTTGGGGAGATCAATTTGCTATATCTTGCAATATCAATCGGCATCTGAACTGTGATGAAGCAATTTGACTGATAAAACGAATTTTCCGAATCTGCAGGAAGACTCACTGGGATTTTTATATGCCTTTATGAGCCGATCAACCAATTGATCACAAGCCATCACCAGATCAGTGTCTAGGTTTGGAGAAGGTATAACTTGGGTCTCCTCCTGTCTTCTCTGCATTGAATTTCTGTTCCGTATAATCACATGCCACATGAGTGACAGTCAGGGCCCAAGTGCGCAAGAGGGTTATTTCATCATCGGAAGTGGAAGAAACATCCATGATTGAATTGATCTTGTGAGATCAGAAGCTGAATCCTGAATGTCCGCACTTTGGTGTTAAAGGGGGTGGAGATTGAGAGGATCAGATAAGGGAGCCTTGGATGATCTGAGCTTTCAAAGATCTATTTCTCTTATCATCTATTGCTCAATGAAATACCACATGATTGGAAGTCTGTTGGATGTCAGATACTCGTTGTCGAGACCCGGGCCTCGGATCTTCGGTACACTTCACTCGATTTTGATACCCAGGACACCATAGTTGGAACTTGTCTCGGGATCTCGGGTCTCGGGTCTCGGTGTCGGGTCTCGGGTCTCAGGTGTCCGGGTCTCGGGTCTCGGGTCTCGGGTGTCGGGTCTTCGGGTCTCGGGTCTCGGGTGTCGCGGGTCTCGGGTCTCGGGTCTCGGGTCGTCGGGTCCTCGGGTCTCGATGGTCTCGGGTACTCGATAGTCGGGACTCGATAGGTACGGGACTCGATACTCAGATTGTCGGGATTCAATGGTCAGGCGTCGGGTTTCATGACTCGGTAGTCGGGACTCGATAGTCGGGACTCGATGGTCGATTTTCGGGATTCGAATAGTTGGGCTCAGATATTGGTACACTTCACTCAATTTTCGGTGGTCGGAACTTGGCATTTGGTAGGCTTGGATGATGTTGGCTTTCAAAGATCTATTATCATCCATTGCTCAATGAGATACCAGATGATTGGAAGTGTGCTGGACATCACATATTCGTTTGTCGAGACCCGGGTCTCGGAACTCGGTACACTTCGCTCGAGTTTCCACTTCACCCCTTTGCAAAGCTCCGTGCCATACCACATCATTAGATGACTTTGAATAATCACCTCCTTTGATTTGGATGATATACAACTAGCTGAGCTCCATCATGTCTACAATTATCATTCTCCTGGGCCCACCCGTCTATCTTATATACCCCCACGTCAGCCTACCCATCTATGCAATATATGTCTCCCGTCGGCCCACCTGTATATAATACATCTTTTACCACTCCCTCGGCCCACCCATCTACAAAATAATATTAATTCGTCGGCCCACCCGTCTAATATGATATATATCTGGGCCCACCTGTCTATGTGATAACAAGCACCCTTGATATACCCGGCTATTTGATACATATCTACCTTGGTACACCCATCTACATAATATCCAACTACCTCGGCCGATCCGTCTATTGAAAATTCATGTCCATCGGCCCACCCATCTACATTACATATTCCCCACCTGGGCCCACCCGTCTCCATCGGGAATAATAACACTCCCGGCCCATCCGTCACAGTCGAGGATATATCTACCCTCGGCCCATGGTCCGCTGGCCCGTATCATACGGGATATTATGCACGTCCGTCCACTCAGTATAATACGGAGATATGTTACTGCAATATGTGGGCGAACGGGTCTATATCAGCTTTTCGGGCGGCGATTATAGGGAGGTCTATGATAAGCATCTTGTGAACCTCAAGAAGTTTGATACTCGAACGAAGGATCATGGTATCCTTGATGGCATCCTGACGGAACTCAACAACAATGGCAGGTATGTGTATTTCAATCATTTGAACTTTCAAATTTTACAATCATAATACAGGTCGCATGCAAAGGTGGATCCAATTGACGTCGGGGACGGAGACTGCCTTTCAGACTGACGAGATCAACAAGGCCATCTGGGAAATACCAGCAGGGCGGTGGTGCAGATGGTAGTGACGAGGTAGAGTCTGACTTGGAGTCCGAGGGTGGTCAATTTGAAGTTGATGAAGTCGAGGCTGAGTAGAATAACTGCAGACTAGTATTTAAACCGTGAATGCACGCCATTTATCTCCCAAGTGTGCGAGTGCTATGATGTGTACTTACTACAATTTTAAACAATAGATCACTACTGTTAAGACCGTACTCAAGTAGTATCGGATCCGAAGGGCTTTGGCCTCAGCTCGTGCGCTGTGCCCCTTTCCCAAGTCTTGCCCCTTATTTCAGAGAGCTAAAGTATTCGCGTCTAGTGAGACGGATAAGTATTGTAATGGATAAGTATTGTAACGGATAAGTCTTGTATCGCAACGGATAAGTATTGCAACGGATCCGTCAAGACTTCCGGATATCGAACGTATAGAGTAACGGCTAATCCAGATCTGATCCGGACTAGAAACTAACGGGTGAGGACTGTCCGAAGACAGAGGCGGATATGTAGACTATAGGAATCTATCCTAAGTCTCGGAATAGACAAGAGTAGCGTACTCAAGTCCGGACGGATAACGGAGGGACTTAGAGTCCAGACAGAATGAGTGCAATCTAAGATGATATTCGAACTGATCTACTACAGCGCATATACAAAGGTTTATATACTACAGATAGCTAACGGAATGATCAATAAGCAAAGGTGCGAGGCTATGTACGAAAGTATAAGCAAAGTCTAAGTGGAGCAGTATTGGTAAGTCAGGATGGATCACGAATCATGAACCGGGAATGAAGTACAAGTAAAAGCGGATTCGTAAGTGTAGCGGATCAGTAAGCATAGCGGATCAGTAAGCAAAGCGGAAGTAAAGGATAACCGGTATACCGGTGTACAGGAATACCGAAAGGAGATGAACGATAGTTAGAGTTATATGAACAGGAAATGAAATAAGAATCAAAGCGGATCTGTGGACCGGACGACGGATATGTTCATCGGATCTGGATCGGATCTGAGATCCGGATCATCGGATCTGTAACCGGATATATGGTATATGACAGTATCCCCCCCTTAGGGCTGATCTCTAGAGGCACAAGAATCAGCGATCCGGAACGGATGGTATGAGTGCGAGACAATGGAGAAGCTGATGGGAGAAGTTGCTGAGTTCGGATTCTGACAGATATACGGATGCCAAAGCGTCGCAGGGTGTTCCTTCCTTTCCCTACTTTTTCACTACCACTAGCTTATCTCAACCATGACTGATAACCGATCCGGCTCTAAGAAGACCGCTAAGCAGACTCTGGCGGATCTCCAGGCCGCGCTGGCTGCTGCTGAGGCCGAGGTTCGGAAGGAGGAAGAGGCTGAAAAGCTGAAGCAACAAGCGGAAGAGGCGGATTGGAAGCGCTTGGCAGGGATTAAGAAGATTGAACAGGCTGAGGTCCGAAGGGAAGCGGAGGAGGCTAGGCGCAGGGCTATAGTAGTGGAAATGGTGAGTTATGACTTGTTCTATCGGATCCGTCCCTTATTGGATCCGTAGTCTCGCGCTATCTCAGCGGATAAGGATGGGGCTTGTACCCGCTGCGCTAAGAAGGGTCGGGCCTGTCTGTGGTCCGATGCGGATAGCAATTCCTTGGTAAGTCGTCCTTGAATCTTTGGATCCGTGACTCTTAACGCTCGGATAGATCAAGGCTTGTAACGCGTGCCGGAAGGACAAGGTTCCTTGTCCCGGATGACCTGGAACCGTTACAGATTCCAAGTCTAAGAAGAGGCAGCGCGCTGCTGAGAACCCATCTCCGAGAGGCAAGGGTAAGAAGCGCCAGCAGAGTCCGACTCCGGATCCGGATATGAAGACTGGTAGTAGCGGATGAGGTGGAAGTGGAGTATGATGATCAGGCCTGGGTCACGGCCGCTAATAGCATTGTAGCGGAACTGGCTCGGACCAACGGATTGCTCCAGCAGAGCAGATGAATACTAACTTGGAGGCGTTTTTGGAGCAGCAGAGGGAGTTCCAGACCATCCTTCTTGAGGGGATCCGGAATGGAATCCGGATTACAGAGGCGGCTCGTTCTGAGGCCACTGACAAGGACGCTGATGAATCCGGATCCGGATCGGGTGGGGACATGGAGATGGATGGCTGAGGATTTTCGGATCTGCCTTCTCTGCTACTAATGTACTTGTATATCCGCTTTGTGTATTCATTGTATAGCAATAGGACCGGGTTTGTCTGGATATGCAGTGTGGAAATCCGAGACTAGATCGGACGCGTTTCCAAGTTCCGTGGCTAGTAGCCATGAAGTCTCTTTGTCTGTTCCTTCGTATCCGGACCATCGGACGAGGTATAAGAGTTGGCATTGTCTTCTACGACGGTCCAGCTTAGAGTCTAGGATTTCGGATATCTCATATTCTGGTTCTCCATCAACTTCGACCGGAGGTGGAGGAGGCTGGATCCGATTGGGAATTGTGTTCGGAACGGATGGTTCTAGCTGTGAGACATGGAAGACGGGGTGGACGGATTTCATGGATTCGGGAAGTCGGATGGTAAAGGAATGGGTACCCGGACGGGATATGACTTCAAACGGACCTAGATTCTTTTCCGAGAGTTTCTTAGACGGACAAGTGGACCGGAAGTACTTAGCCTTGACAAAGACTTGGTTTCCGATATTGATATCCGGAGCAGGTTTCCGTTTAGCGTCCGCAGGTCCTTGATATCTTTCTTGGGCGTGAGCCATCTCTTCTCTAAGGAATTGGTGAAGGTCGTCGAGGTCTATAGCATAGTCGCGAGCGCGGATGGAGGATAGATCGCGTTCCGGATGGACGGATATGTTCGGATGATAACCCTTATTAGCAAAGAAAGGCGATACTCCGGTAGTAGCACTTGGAGCGTTATTGTAGGCAAATTCTGCTAAGGGAAGTAGTTCCGACCAGTTGTCCTGTTGATAATTGCAATATATCCGAAGGTATTGTTCCAGGGTTTGGTTGGCACGCTCGGTTTGTCCATCCCCTTCCGGATGATATCCGGATGTGAAGTGGAGGACCATATCCAATGCTTTTCCTAAGGATCGGAAGAAGTGGGATACAAACTCTGTACCGCGATCCGAGGTGACATGGGACGGAACTCCGTGCTTGGAAAACACATGAAGTAGGAATAGACGAGCGAGATCCGGAGAGGTAATGGTATCGTGAGTCGGAACAAATATTGCTTGTTTGGATAAACGATCTATGATAATGAGGATGGCTGTAAAGCCGGATGAGTCCGAAAGTTGCTCTATGAAATCCATGGATATGGAATTCCAAGGCTTTTCCGGTATGGGTAGTTGCTTGAGCAATCCATAGGGTTTATGTCTCGGAACCTTGGCTCGGGCGCAGGTAGTGCAGGACTGGACGTAGTCCTTAACATAGGTGCGTATACCTGGCCATGTATACTCGCATCGGATGAGGTCTAGGGTTCGGTTTTGACCAAAGTGTCCGGATAAGGGGTGATCATGAGTATTACGGAGGACGCGAAGTCGAAGGTTATCGGATTCTGGGACATATATGTATACGGTTGTCGCAACGGAGGAAACCCCTATCGTCCACTGTCCATCTCGGATCCGAAGGTACCGGAAGATGGTTGGTTGCAATAGGGTCATTAGGGAACGCGGTCAGGATGTCTTTCTGAAGGTCATCAATATCCATTAGAACAGCTGCTCTAAGAACTGGAGTTGCTAAGGTTGAGGCTCGTAGGGACGAAGCTAACTGTTCGGACGTGGATACCGGACGGAAGTTATGAGGGTTAACTCGAGCGTAGTCCTTATCCCCCTCTTTGGGATAGACGTCCCAGCGTCTAGTAAGGGCATCCGGTTTAACTCCGAGTTTTCCGGGACGGAAGCGGATGACAAGATTGAACTGATGGAGGAATTCCGACCAGCGGGCCTGACGGCGAGAGAGGAGTTTGACATACTATGGATAGTATTCCAGCTATAGTGTAGTCAGAGGCATCGGTTTCCACAACTATAGGAACATCCGGCATCCAGTGCGTAAGCACCAGAGCCGTAGTGAAGGCTTTCTTGAGTTCTTCGAAGGATTTCCGACATTCATCGGAAAAGTTCCACGGAGCATCCTTGCGTGTAAGCCGTGTTAACGGAACCACGATATCCAAGTAGTTGAATATAAACCGTCTATAGAAATTTGCGAATCCAAGGAAGGATTGGATATCCTTGACTTTCCAAGGTTCCGGCCAGTCAGTAATAGCTTGGATCTTATCGGACGACATAGTTAAGCCGTCTGGAGATAGGAGATATCCGAGATATTCAACGGAAGTGGAATGGAATTCGCATTTTTTCGGGTTTGGCATAGAGAGGATGTTTACGGAGTCGACGGAGTAAGTAGTACTTCTTGGACGTGTTGCTTGTGGGACGCAAGGTCATGGGAATAGATGAGGATGTCGTCCAGATATACGATAACGTATACATCCAGCATATCAGCAAACTGTCATATACCATATATCCGGTTACAGATCCGATGATCCGGATCTCAGATCCGATCCAGATCCGATGAACATATCCGTTCGTCCGGTCCACAGATCCGCTTTGATTCTTATTTCATTTCCTGTTCATATAACTCTAACTATCGTTCATCTCCTTTCGGTATTCCTGTACACCGGTATACCGGTTATCCTTTACTTCCGCTTTGCTTACTGATCCGCTATGCTTACTGATCCGCTACACTTACGAATCCGCTTTTACTTGTACTTCATTCCCGGTTCATGATTCGTGATCCATCTGACTTACCAATACGCTCCACTTAGACTTTGCTTATACTTTCGTACATAGCCTCGCACCTTTGCTTATTGATCATTCCGTTAGCTATCTGTAGTATATAAACCTTTGTATATGCGCTGTAGTAGATCAGTTCGAATATCATCTTAGATTGCACTCATTCCGTCTGGACTCTAAGTCCCTCCGTTATCCGTCCGGACTTGAGTACGCTACTCTTGTCTATTCCGAGACTTAGGATAGATTCCTATAGTCTACATATCCGCCTCTGTCTTCGGACAGTCCTCACCCGTTAGTTTCTAGTCCGGATCAGATCTGGATTAGCCGTTACTCTATACGTTCGATATCCGGAAGTCTTGACGGATCCGTTGCAATACTTATCCGTTGCGAATACAAGACTTATCCGTTACAATACTTATCCATTACAATACTTATCCGTCTCACTAGACGCAATACTTTAGCTCTCTGAAATAAGGGGCAAGACTCGGGAAAGGGGCACAGCGCACGAGCTGAGGCCAAAGCCCTTCGGATCCGATACTACTTGAGTACTGGTCTTAACAGAATGTAAGAGAATGGTTGCAAGCCTTTGCGAGATCCTTGCCTTTATATTCCCACCTATCTGCAAACCGAGTTTTGATTTTAGGGCCATGGCAGGTAAATGTAACCCAATACTGTACTAGTCCCTTGTACTCTCAAGGCCCAAAGCGGAACTGATTGAGACGGCGTTGATTGATCACATAAATTTGCACCATACTTAAGTAATGTAGCCGTCGTATCTCCAGTAGTTTTTATTTTAGATACTAGTCAATCCATGAAAAGTACAGGGTGATCGCCATATCGTGCTAGACATTATTGATACCGAGCCGGCGGCTAGGATGTTGAGAAATTCAGGTAGCGCTCGCTCTTCTGCAGCTTTGCAAGGCTCTGCACGAAAAAGATATAAAGGGAAGTTGATGTAATTGTGATTGGCCAGTGCCGTGAAGGCCTGTGACAGGTCAGGACGGTCAGACCATGGGCGCATAAATATAAAAGGAGAAATTTGTGGTTGACTCTCGGCTGCACTAAGTACGATCGTCATAACCCCATTGCAAATTTGCAATCCTTCTTCATGTCGGCATATATAACGGGCCATAATATGTCAGAATCACTGATACTGTGTGACATTTCTATATATTTTGGGCGTGCAATAAAAGACTCACGTTGTAGACGGAATTTCAAATTTCAACGTTAACAGGGGGGCCGTGTTCCATCTCATGATTTTGTCAAATCAGGAGTCGGGGCACATCTCATCTGAACTGGTGGACCGTTCTGTGTAGTTCTGAATGCCAGCGTACTGTACCAGACATTGTATCTTGCTATGACACTCTAGACCCGACACAAAATTGCGCGATACAACCTTAGAGCCAGTTCGGCAACTCGATGTTGGGGTGTATTTGCCATGTTGCACATCTGGCGCAATGTGAGTTGCACCGGCATGCTCCCGGCATATAGTCGGAGCTTGAATGTAATCCTAGGTTAGACGACTGTATCCCTGGGCTCGTGAATCCTTCATAGTACTATGGAGTCCCTACCCGAAGTCTTTCCAGGGCTTCGTCTTCAAAACCGGTCTCAGGTTCATCATAAAATCATACAGTATGTAGTACTTCTACTCAGCATTCTCATCCATGCCTCCGGCAGTCTTGTAGCATCTATGTACCCAAGGGACCCACAACCCTACCATACATCAGCGCTTTCTGGTGAAGCATGGGTGGTCGAATTACTCACTGGTCATCCAGAGCGCATTTGTTGTGAGCTTGGAGTGCATGCCCATGTCTTTGCAGAGCTCATATCAGAACTCCGTACCCTTGGGTATTCCGACTCCAAGTTTGTCTCTCTAGAGGAGCAACTCGCCATTTTCCTGTATGCCGCTGTCACAGGCCTGTCAATCAGGCATATTGGTGAAAGATTTCAGCGTTCCAATGAGACAATATCTCGGTAAGTGTCATATTTTCATGGACTGGACTCATTTGTCACGCTATATCTAGATACTTTCGAAGGATGCTCGTAATTCTATCAACCCCACCATTCTATTCAAAATACGTCCACCTCCCATCAGATGAAGCAGTTTCTCGCAAAATTCGCCAGAATCCCAAATTCTGGCCGTTTTTTAAGGACGCCATTGGGGCGCTTGATGGGAGCCATATCCATGCTACACCTCCTGCACTTGAACGTGCTGCCTACCGCGATCGCAAAGGTCTCGTCTCTCAAAACTGCCTGTTTGCATGCGACTTCGACATGAATTTTACCTATGTCCTTACCGGTTGGGAGGGATCCGCCACAGATGCACGTGTTTTCGAGGACGCGTCTACCAAAGACCTTAAGATCTCCCAAGAAAAATACTTTCTAGCTGATGCTGGTTACCCTCTACGCCGTGGACTCCTGATACCATACCGTAATGTCCGCTACCATCTCGCTGAGTGGGGACGAGCGAGTGTAAGGTAAGACAGTCCATATTCTTTGGAACGCACACTAACATTGATAGTAGGCCATGCAATAAAGAGGAGCTATTCAATCTTCGCCATGCCATGGCAAGGAACGTCATTGAACGTGTCTTCGGCGTCTTAAAGCATCGCTTCCGCATCCTCATCCTCGCACCAAGGTATAACTTAAACATTCAAGCGCAGATTCCAGCTGCTCTATGTACAATTCACAACTTTATACGCCTGCACGACCCACAGGAGGGTCCTATCCCAGATACTAACTCAGATGGGGATCCGGCTGAGGATGAGACTGACCCACATGAGGCAGTGGTACCAGAGGAAGAAACGGCAGATATTGAAATGAGCCGCTTGCGTGACAACATCGCTGAAGACATGTGGGCTCAATATGGGCAAGTTTTGCATGAACAAGTACTAGCAGATGGTGATGACTTAGATGAAGAGGACTTACTTGGCCTGGATGGTGATGACAACGCAGACGAGGATGAGGGCGCAGATGCAAACAATGATATTCATGTATAGTTCTTACACGTGTATTAGAACCCAATGCTACATGATTGTGGACTCGAAAATGATGGTGGGACAACAAACAACAAAGCAGACAGAAAACAGCGCGACAATCACAGAACATACAGCCTAAGATACATTGTACAAGTAAGGGACGAGATGTGAAAGTGATACCTACTTCGCTGCATGAGCCTCAAGAAGCGCCTTGATATAAGAGCGGCGTGGTCCCAGTGGGCTTTGCACATAAATCTCCATCGCCCGCTCATTGCTTGTAAAAATTAGTAACAGTCGGCCTAAGTCCTCTGCAGGCACCTCCGCATCTTCGGTTTGCATAAGGATCATGGCGCGATCAAGAGCGGTTGCAACCAAGGGGGGAGGGGGTGGAGGAGGTGGTAGTGGTGGTGCAGGCGCAGGCGCTGCAGTGACGGCTTTTTCGAGAATGTCACCAATGCGGTTGATGGAACCCTGCATGCCAACAACAGCAGTGGCAGGTGAAACCTTCAACCCTCGTGCTGCACTGGTCATCATTGCGACCGCACTGTCACCGTGACGTCCAGATCGCGATTTTTTTTGCAGGAGGGGGTGCTGATACCAAGGTAGAGGACGGCAAGGGACCAGAAAATGACGGATAGCTGGATAGGTGAGTTGATGATTCCATGTCGCACGATGCATCATCATGAGTGCGTTTTCCAGTGCCAATACTGGATGCAACAGTGGAAGGAGGCAAGATGGGAAGACGAGAAGCATTGAAGTTGGTATCGCGAGGCAGTTCCATGGTAGCAGCAACAGGGTCATTACTGGCACTGGCAGCTGATGCGATGATGGTTGCAGCAGCAGCAGTAGTGATGACATGCTCTGCACCAGGCTCAACATCATCGTCAGCCAGTACTGGAGCTGCAGCAGCAGCCGGATGAAATGCGTGAGTTCCCTGAGCGCCAGTGCCATTTGGGAAGATCTCAGCTAGTTTGTCGTAGTATATCCACCCGCTGTTGGCAAATGGCCGCATTGAAGCGCGGGACGTCTATTTAATATATTAGATTACAGTAGATAGCTTTGAACAGGGGACGTACACTTGATGTGACGTAGTTATTGAATACCTCTAATGCAGTCCTTCCTTCGATTCCAGCGCCTCTGGTATTATCCCAGTGAGCTCCTGAGACATTGCGATAGTTTTGGATCTCTCGGTATATCCCTCTGAGCTGGTACAGGGGTAGATATTAGTAGAATGGGACGTAGAGAATCTCAATGCACTCACCGTGTTCCATTTACTTCTACAGCGTTTATTTGTCTTTGGAGGGCCTGCAGTTAGCAGGTTGGCCCTTGCAAGGGCAGTTGCTGCTGAGGTAAATGTAGATGGCTTGAAACCGCCATCCCCAACCTCGGATTTGTTGCTGACTAGGTGATCGAGAAGAGCGTTCGTCTCTGCCACATTCCATTGCGCTTTTGGCTCAGCTGGTACTGGTCCGACAGTAGCAGTGTTTGGCTCGGTAGCCATTATAACAGTAGTAAACTGGCCGCAAATAGATACAACAGCGACGACCGATGAATAAACTAGCTTGCGGAGGTGAGGGTCGAGCCAGTCCATTGTGGTGCTAGTCAGTAGATAGGGAAGGTTCGAGCTCCGACTGACCAAAGGTATATGCCGGGAGCATGCCGGTGCAACTCACATTGCGCCAGATGTGCAACATGGCAAATACGCCCCAACATCGAGTTGCCGAACTGGCTCTTAAGGCGGACGAATGATACAGCACGATATAACGATTAACTCTTGTTTCTCGTCAGTGAAAACATAGCAACAAGTTTGATGTCATGGCTGGTTGTATACGGTTGCCAGATGTAGTACCACCGTAAGCTTTAGAGTATATGCAAGGGTCGTGCTATTTACAAGATCCGGGTTTGGGATATATGCTGCCAGGGTACTATTCGATCCTGCACTGAAATCGAAACATTGGATATCATGTTGACGCTGTAGTATACTTCCGTCTTGGTGCCAATGACACCGTGAATATGTGCACGGTAGCATTCGCATGCACAGGAAATTTTATGTGCAATAACCTCATATATGTAGTGTAGGGTCGTCGAGGCTGTGAGGATTAAATATCAGCCAAGGTTTTCCAGAATGTGGGTTCGGATAAAGCCGATGATTCCTGGGCATTAAGAAGAACTAGACACCGAGACGAGCGAGGACGAGCGGTGTATGAGCCCGATCCGACAGTCCGTGTAAAGACGGTATTGGCAACGAGTTTGACGTGATGGTATTCCGTTATGGACTGATCCGCGCAGCGCAGTGCAATTAAAACGGCGGATTTGATTGAACCAATGAGGTTACGAAGAAAGCCGCGATACCGTGATACCACGATATTAACCAAGATCTTGGACTGTTAAATTCTCCAGGACCGTTCTGAGAAAACCACCACAAACTTCGCCGAGAGTACGTTGACTCGTCAAGGGCATGAGCTGCCTATTTTAATTCCTGGAATTTTCACTCAGAGAACGCAGTACAGTGTTGAGTTAGGTTGGTTTGCCAATCCGGATTGATTCGCTTTAGTGCAACTTCAGCGTTCAGAATTTACAAAATATGAATAAGTTTACGCTTCGTAGAATCGGGACATGAGCCTATTGTGAATTTACATTTGAGGTCCGGGTTGACACTGACGCCGTCTTCGCGGCTACTAGTAAGGCATGCTGCTGAGAAGATTCAATGGAATTAACTACTGGTCTGCGTTTGAGGAGTAGATAACTATACTCACGTAAGAATGTCTTGCCTCAAATGGTCTCTCTGCTCTCCACTCTCCGCATCCCGCACTCCGTTCCATCATTCAACAGATCCACCCACCACCAGCCCTACATCTACCACCACTAACGACATCTTCCCGTCCGGAGACAACACCGTGGCTTACTTACGGTGGTGCGCCTTCTCCGTCTCGCCAGTCTTCCCCGATCTAGTCCTCACTTTCAAGTTCCATACTCGCAACAGGTCGCCGCCTGAACAAGTGATGATCCGATGAAGTTCGCTTGGCGGCTGTGTTGTCCAAATGTCTGGCAGGGCGTTATTTCTGACATCACATTCGGCGCCACAGTACGTAATTGTTGCCCAAGGTGTGCAGCTAAGAAAACATTGAACCAACGTTCGTTCAAAATAGTAGCTCACGAAAAGGTTCTAGCAGGTTGCTGTAAATGAATAATGCGCCGAGACTCGGACGATACGACAAAGCCCGCAAAGTACGTATCCTTCACAGGATGACCAAAGCATAGGCCGTGCAGATGAACGGCTCAGAAGTCGAGCTTTGTTTAGATACTACCGTGATGACATACCTGTAGAAATTGCCATCGACATCCAGGATTCTTCAGAGAAGCCAGGAAGTTAAGGAAAGAGTCGCGTCGGCATCAGGAGTTTGAAGAAGGTCAAGTCGTAACTCGAAGTTGAGGCCCTGATAGACTCAAAATTACGCATATTGCACATGTAGCCGGCGTACCTTGTATGAAGTGGCGCCAGTCGACGTCGTCAAAGAGGGAATTTCCTCCGAAAGCTTGACAGCACTTCTGAAAGCCAACGAGTACTTTAAGTTTCGTGTTTCGAACCTGACAGTGATGTAAGGCGGTATAAAAATTTCACAGTGCAGTAGTAAAAAAATCCCGCGGCATGTCGCGCAACCAAAGAGTGCAACCTGGACCGCCGGCGTCCCCGACAGATCTGACTCGTCATTCGTGAGAAATGGTATGTCTGAAAAGATATTATAAATGCGTCAGTGAGTCATCTAGCAGCTAGCTAGAAAGTACTTGAATCCAAGATGACTCTAGTATTTCTTCCTCGAGAGTAATGTTGGACGGAGACTTGATTCAACATTTCACTCGAGTGAATCGCTGCGAAAGATGTTCGTCGAGCTTAAGTTATTTGGGTGGTCATCGCCATTTGTCCCGTTAGTCTTCGGGCCCATCAGCCCTGTTCGATTTCCATGCGGACAGGGCCAAAGAAGGTTGGTACGAGTAACATAATAGTGAGAGCATGAGCCTCGAGGCTAACTCGTAAGTAACCGAGAGTTTACACTGCTTGCCCTAAAGTAGATCTTGTTTGAATTCAGCTGTGTCTTGATTGTGCTTTATATCCTCGATCTTCTCCCTCCACCGACCGTCTCCTGTGAAGCATTCACTTGCTTCGTTCTCGCCCCCTCCATCTTCTCAGCACAAAAAATGGCCTCCCAGCTCTCCCAGCAATATGCTTGTTCGTTAAACAAATTATCCAGTCCAAGTTTGCTTTGATCTAAGCACGCCCACATACATGCCAATAGAGGGATTCGCTGTCTACGATGTCCCAGCTCGCACATACCACTACAGCCCCGACGGCCGTCTCTTCGCATACGCGCTACCAACTGTGTACGGTTTGCTTCGCGCTCGCGAGATCCACCTAGCTGACTTAATTTGATCCTCGCAGTGTGCGGATCTTTCTGGCCGAAGGCGCACAGTTGCTCCAAGAACTGAGCGTTCCAAATGTCATCGAACTCAGGTTCTGCCCGCGCGGGACATACATCTCTACATGGGAGCGATCAGGTACGCCTCGTGTTTGTCGTTCAGGATATCGGTAAAATCTCACTTCACACACCTGCCCGCAGTAAAGCTGGAAGATGGCGCGTAGCACAAGGACTTCGTGTCTTCTCCGCGTTGGACTGGCGCGGGCGACAATGTGCCTGCCTCTGGCAGACGGAGCTCGTGTGGCCTCAACCTCTTGATGATGCTACCTACGACAACGCCCGAAGGCTCTACTCCTACTGACTAAGCTGCGCAAAGGGTGGCAAACACCCGCCTGCACCCCCCGCTGGAGGGGTACCCCACTCCAGCGTCTACCGGCGAGGAGCTCATCTCATTCACACAGAAGTCGCAGGAGAACTGGGACCTTCAGTACACCATGTCTGAGTCGCATGTCATTCGTCTTGTTGCTCGAGAGGTCCAAGGCTACCGTCCTGCTGGATAGGGGAAGGGCATCGCCGATCAGCTACACATTGAAGGCGCATCAATGGTCTGCCTGACTCGGAGGTCTGGACTGAGCCTATCCGTTGTGGTGTGTTTGTTGCTGAGAGGAAGGTATAATCCATTTCTCCTCATAATACATACATTCTTAGTCTTCTCAGGGCGCCCCTGCGATTGTCAAGATCTACGGCCTATCCACCCTTTCTGGCGCCCCAACCTGGTCTAAAACTTTCTACAAGGCTGACGCGCTTGTTTTCTATCGGACCTGCACTTAAAGCTTAAGTTTGACTGCCGGGATAGCCAGGGTCATACCGGCCTGCCATGACCATAAAAACTCTGAATTCGATTGCGGGCGACAATGCTAGCAAAGGCTAGCAAGTAATTCGCGTTCGCACCTTCAGGCTTCCCATACCACCTAGAATCTGTAAGAAGCCAGGCTCAGCATTCCGAACCAGCATATACGAGTCTTTGCAAGTAAGTTCACATCACGCATCGCTGATCCAGGATCAAAATGAGCTTACCATGAATGTACGTCAAAGGTCTATATCGACGCTAACAAACAACCTCATCGACGCCTTTGGCCATGTCAAAGTGTATCAAAAATGCAATTTCCGGATGGTGATCTTGTGATTTTTTGGGGGTACATGGTAGGGGTACATTAGCTGGAGCTTTCGGAGGCCTGACTGGGGGAGACGAGCCGAGATGAAGCTTCAAGTTAAGACGAGTCGGCGACACTCATACTACTTAATAGGCTCTGAGGCAACTCAATTGAAGGGCAACATACTATAGCCATCGTTGTCAATCTAAGGACATCGTGCCTCAGGCTTCCAACTCGGAGTCTTTTCCTGCTATTTTAATACAGTGACCCAGCATCATTAAGGTAACTTTCATACTTCCATGCCCTTGCACACGATGATCACCAAAAGTTTCATTTATATTCCTTCTGCAAGGTGAAACTCAGTTGCAGCACGCCATCCACTCGCTTGGCGTAGCTCAAATACGGTGACCAGCGTAAACCCAATGTGATGGAACATTGTCAATTCCGTCAACGAGTGCCCAACGCGCATCGTGTTCAACATCCTCTTCTCATTTTGAACCTGAACCGCTCAACTTCTTATTGTCAGGTAATGCCCGGAAGAATACATTGGACGAGTTGACAGTCGATATCATAGTGAGAATCGATGCTCGTGCTACTGCTAATGAACCTATTGACATTTTAGATGGTATTCGGACTAATAAGCTAAGACCTTCCACATCTCCTCAAGGTGCGAACTATCGGAGCAATACGTCCATATGCATATTGTTCATTTTTTGATTCTTAGTTCTTGCCGTCCGCCGCGTTCAAATTTGCATTGCATCAAGCGCACGTTCTTATCGCGAGTGATCACTCTTGTACTTGCCACTATATTAGGGTTTCATACGAGCATCTTCCACCCAGATTGAAATGCGTTCCAATTTCTTCAATGATAGCTGGGTATCAGGATCGGTACCACGAGGGATGGGCTGAGATCGTGTTGTAACTTAAAACCTAAACCACTTGATCAATCATCATATGCACAGCTTAACCAAACAAACCCGGCAATCTGATCTGTTCTATCAAGCCACAAACTTGCAATAGAAAGCTGTCCGAGTCAGAGTCTTTCACTGCCATGTGACGAGACGACGCACTAAGAATTTAAACTCCGCGCGTCATCTGTTTGAGACGACCGCCGTGACCAAGTACTAGCTACTAGTAAGAGTTGCCAACTTGAAGCTGCAACTCAGTGACACGCTCTCTCCTTCGAACAAAATGTGGCAAATGCTACCGACTCGGAAGTCCTAGTCACCATCCTGAACCCGGCACGGTCCGGATCGTTCCTGTACGTTAATTTATTTATGAGCATCGTAGCAGGGTGTCGATAGTCAGTCCGAGAAGGTGCGTTCAGGTGGCTTCGGAGCAACAGAACATCAACACTCTCAGAGTGTACCTTTACGGCTTTGCATAGGTATTTTCTCATAATCGAAGCGGTGGGATTAATTAGGGAATAGGTAGGTGAAAAGGTCTAGGAACTTTTACATTTCGAGCGGGCAGATATGGTATTTTTTCATATATGAACGCGCGAACCCTTTTCCACAGCTGGCACAAACGGCCTTCACCTTCCGCAAATGTGTCTCGTTCACATGGCGAGTGCGGCTCTCCTTCTTGACAAATTTCGAGCATCCAGGCCAGGTGCACTTTATCTTGTCTTGACTACCCTGCACAATGGGGAGAGGGCTAAGTCTGGGCAAAGAGCCCGGCAAGGTCTTTCTTTCAGAGTACGTGCCATCCTCGGGTGGGAAGGGTTGTGCACCGAGCTCATAGCCGACACAACCGGAGGTGTCGCAGAGTAATACGTCTGTCGTACATGGTAAACGTTTCCTTAGGCTGAAAATTTAGTGAATTTACCCGGGATACGTTGATAGGTCATAGAGTCTGTATCTTCTGGCAGCCATCCCATAATCCCGACAGATTCTAAAGGACCGCACTCTTGGTCCGAAAGGCCATTGGTCAGTGGCTGTGGCAAGCCAAAGATGTCGAGTGTAGTCAACAATGGTGAATATAGTGTTGGGCTCATCGGGTGCAACTGTTACAATATTCTGAGGTTCATCAGCGAATATTGCTTGGAGGTAAGCACTGCTTATCCCTTGTGCCCGAATCCGTCACCGTGGCTTCTGACTGGACGATCTCAAGAAGTTCTGTAATGCGGGTGCGGATCTCCAGCACTTCCCCGTAAACCCTGATTAACCTGTCATTGTGTCGGTCAAGGCACTCAAGACATGATTGCAAGGTTGCTTTCATTGAATTTCGATCAGGAACATGCCCTGGTTGTGAAGACAACGTCGAGGGGGGGATCGTCGCCATCGATCTAGGCCTTAAGATTTATGGTAAGCTTATGTACCCATCCGAGTCTATGACGTGTAAAGTATCCTTACTTTTGCAAATACATGCTGGTTTTGAATGCCGACTTGCAAGTTCTGGATGGTACAAGGAATCGTGTAGATGTTGCAAATCTGGACAAGATTTTTACCTTTATATCCATATCCGCCTTCATATTGATGTTTTCCACGAGCACAGGAATATGCCACCTAGAAGATACCCTTGAGCGCCTTTCTTAATACTTCTCGACGCGTAAGCGTCAATGTGTCGTAAGGTTGGACCGCCATCTTGTCTGGATTCATACTGCTTCCCATACAGTCAGAGTCCGCGATTCCCGTTGGTACATAAATCATGATGTAGATGAGGCCCCTGAGCGCCTTTCTTATTCCTCGACCATGACCCGTCAATGTTATAATAAACACAGCAATCCAGGTCTCAATTCTCATGACTTTCTTTATCCTCTTATTGAAACGAATTCGTCCAGATTCCCCAGCGCGCCGTACAGTGTGTTATCAGTTCATTAACCACTTAAATCATGATCGTCGCTATTCCGTGTGCACTGAGAATTTAAATTGTATCCGGTATGCAGATAAGCTACTGAGGCACGAGGGGATAGGAAATTTCGTTATTCACAGCTTTCGCAGTAGTTTAAAGTAGTGCGAGTAAACTTAATGCCATCCTAGACGGAGATTTGGTTTTGTATGCGATTGATCTGAGCTAAGATGGTTTCCACCTGCGGAAACCATTGGCTCCTATCTACAAGAGTCCCATTGTGTCGGGCAACGTTTCTGGTTTCTTGCCAGTTTGATACGTCAAATCACCAACAGTGGCGGCATGGCTGCAAAACTGCCATGGGTGGCAGTGACCAGCCTAGCTTATAATTCAAAGATAAGAATAAGTTTATGCGTCATAGAATCGGGACATGAGCCTATTATGAATTTACGTTGGAGGTCTGGATTGACACCGACACCGTGTTCGCTGTGATTAGTATGGCATGCCGCTGAGAAGATCCAATGGAATCAACTACTGGTCTGCGTTTGAGCAGCAGATGACTGTATTCACGTAGGAATTATCCTGTCTCGAATGGTCTCTCTGTTATCCACTCTCCGCATCTCACACCCCATCATTCAAAACGCCATGGCGCGGCGGGCCGGCGCATAGCTTACTTACGGTGGTGTGCCTTCTCCGTCTTGCTAGTCTTCCCCGATCTGGTCCTCACTCTCCAAGTTCCACACTCATAACAGGTCGCCGCCTGAACAAGTGATGATCCGATGATCGCCTGGGTGAGACGAGCTGTGTTGCCCAAATTTCTGGCAGGGCGTTATTCGACATCCCATTCGGCGCCACACGTAATTGTTACCCAAGGCTAGTGTGGGGGGCAAAACTACTTGGCTTTAGTTTTGCCAGGGTAGCAAAACTTGGTAAACTCTAGGCGTTATGTAGATTATGTGTACGACATTCCAAATGATGACATCAATGCTGCCTCGTCCCAGCCGTCACCCTCGCCATTGTAATTAACCACCTCAACCTCATCTAGAACAGTCTGTGGTATTATTCCTTGTTCGATCCGATCCAACTCATCAAAATCAAAAGCATTTCCCTCGAGCACTTCAACTTCGTTAATGCACTGAACGTCTTCAGTCCTTTTCAACTCTTCGAGAGCTGCAAATTCAGCGGCAATATCATCAGGCACAACCAGTTTTGCCGAACCGGTTGGCAAAACTCGGTAGTTTTGCCAACAACACTACCCAAGGCGGACAACCAAGACGCGTTGAACCAAAGTTTGTGGCTCATGGGGGGTTGCGTCTAGCGGGTTGCTGTAAATGAATGATGATAATGCACTGAGACTCAGACGATATGACAAAGCTCACAAAGTAAGCATCCTTCACAGGATGACCAAAATATAGGCCGTGCAGATGAAGCTGAGCTTTTTTAAAATACTGCGGTGACAATACACCTGTAAAAATTGTCAAGGAAAGAGCCGCATCAGCATCAAAAGTTTCAAGAAGGCCAAGTCGTAACTCGAAGATTGGGGCCCTCGGACCGACAGACTCGAGATTACGCAAATTGTTTGTGGCAGTGGCGCGCCATCAAAGAGGGAATTTCCTTCGAATAGATCCGAAAGCCAGAACTTCTGACTTAAAGCCAACAAGTACTTTGAATTTTGGGTTTCGAACCTGACAGTGATGTGAGGGGGTGAAAAAATTCTTCACGGTGCGGTAGTGGAAAAGGCTGAATGAACGGATACTGCGGAACGCCGAACTAACGTCGCGCAACAGAGTGCAACCTGGGCGTCTGGGTATTACAGCAGAGATGTGATGCCGACAGTTCTGAACTCATGTTGGCATGTTTCCCTGAAAAGATGTTATGAATGCGTCAGCGAGTCATCTGGCCGGCACAGACGCACCACTAAAATTTTTGGGATAATTTATTATTGCTGCCGTGGTCCATTTTCAAGGCATCTTCGTATGTGTGATATAAAGATATCACAGAGCTCGAGCGGATGAAAGTACTTGAATCCAGGTCTTTTTTCCTCGAGAGGAATGTTGGATGGAGACTTGATTCAACATTTCACTCGCTGCAAAAGATGTCCATCGAGCTTGAGTTATCTGCGCAGTCATCACATTTGTCCTGTTAGTCTTTAGGTCCATCAGCCCTGCTCGATTTCCATGCGGACAGGGCCAAAGAAGGTTGGTACGAGTAACATAATAGTGAGAGCATGAACCTCGAGGTCAACTTGTAAGTAACCGAGAATTTGCACTGCTTGCCCTAAAGTAGATCTTGTTTGAATTCAGCTGTGTATTGATTGTGCTTTATATCCTTGATCTTCTCCCTCCACCGACCGTCTCCTGTGAAGCATTCACTTGCTTCGTTCTCGCCCCCTCCGTCTTCTCAGCACCAAAAAATGGCCTCCCAGCTCTCCCAGCAATATGCTTGTTCGTTAAAATATTTATCCAGTCCAAAGTTTGCTTTTGATCTAACGTAATTGGAATCTTGTAGTCCGCGCGCAGAAGAGCATGGGCCTCGTCGGCGGCACGCCCACATACATGCCAATAGAGGGATTCGCTGTCCCCGATGTCCCAGCTCGCACATACCACTACAGCCCCGACGGCCGTCTCTTCGCATACGCGCTACCAACTGTGTACGGTTTGCTTCGCGCTCGCGAGATCCACCTAGCTGACTTAATTTGATCCTCGCAGTGTGCGGATCTTTCTGGCTGAAGGCGCACAGTTGCTCCAAGAACTGAGTGTTCCAAATATCATTGAACTCAAGTTCTCCCCGCGCGGAACATACCTCTCTACATGGGAGCGGCCAGGTACGCCTCGTGTCTGTCGTCCAGGATATCGGTAAAATCTCACTTCACACGCCTCCCCGCAGTAAAGCTGGAAGATGGCGCGCAGCACAAGAATCTCCGTGTCTTCTCCGCGTCTACCGGCGAGGAGCTCATCTCATTCACACAGAAGTCGCAGGAGAACTGGGACCTTCAGTACACCATGTCCGAGTCGCATGCCATTCGTCTTGTTGCTCAGGAGATTCAGGTCTACCGTCCCGCTGAATGGGGGAAGGGCATCGCCGACAAGCTACGTGTCGAAGGCGCATCAATGGTTACCCTGAGTCCTGGACTGAACCCGTCCGTTGCGGTTTTTGTTGCTGAGAAGAAGGTATGATCCCTTTCCCCTCATGATACATCCATTCTTACTCTTCTCAGGGCGCTCCTGCCGTTGTCAAGATCTACGGCCTATCCACCCTTTCTGGCGCTCCCACCTGCTCTAAAACTTTCTTCAAGGCTGATCGCGCCCAGATCAAGTGGAACGATCTTGGCACGCAGGCACTTGTCCTTACACAGACGGAGGTCGACAACTCAAACATGAGCTACTACGGCGAGACCGGTATGTACCTACTCAGCGCGGCAGGTAATTTCGACTGCCGCGTTACCCTGGACAAGGAGGGACCGATCCATGACGTTTCGTGGAGCCCAAACTCGAAAGAATTTGGCGTTGTCTATGGATGTTAGTTGTCTTTTTAGATCGTGGAAGCCATATTAATAGCCGGCGTTTTGTCTTAGACATGCCTGCCAAAACCACACTCTTTGATCAGCGTGTGCGGACGCTCCATGATTTTGGATCCTCTCCTCATAACTTCATCGCTTTCAATCCGCAAGGTCGCCTCCTCGCACTTGCCGGCTTTGGTAACCTGGCAGGAAAAATCGACATCTTCGACAGGAGAACGTTAACGAAGATCTGTACCATCGACGCACCAAACACCTCTTATTGCGAGTGGTCGCCCTGCGGCAGGTTCCTTTTGACAGCTACCCTGTCTCCTCGTCTTCGTGTGGACAACGGAATCAAGGTTTGGCACTGCACTGGTGGACTTATGCACGTCCAGCCAGTAGAGGAGTTATACCAGGCATCGTGGAGACCTACGTTACTCGATCAAGCACCTCCGTTTGGTTCGACTATCCCTGCCGCACCCCAGCCCTCAATCAGTGTATTGACTGCGGCTCTGACCGCTAAACCCGCCACACCCAAAGCTGCAGGTGCTTACAGACCGCCTGGCGCACGTGGCCTTGCAACGCCAGCGATTTTCAAGCGCGAGGACGAGGGCGGTGCTCCCCGTATGCCCACCGGTAGTGGCAGCGCAACACCTCCGCGGGGCTACAACCGCTCACCGAATCCTCCCGGTAGCATGGGGCATGCTAACGGAGCCACGCCTTCCAACGGTAATGGCCACTACCAGAACGGGAACGGGGGACGGAGGCATGTACCTGGTGCCGCGCCTAAGACGCCTTCCACTGCACCTGCGCCAGGGGCAGAGGGTGGTGAGAAGAAGCCGAAGAAAAAGGGGAAGAAGAAAGAGAAAGGACCTGGGGAAGCAGGCTCGGGGGCTGCGACACCTACTGGAGAGGCGTCTGTGCGACCGTCTATTGATGTGACCGTAGTAGGGACGCAGACGCCCCAAGGTTCTGTTCCACCAACGCCGGGAGCAGAATCGTTGGACCCTATCGCGAAGAAGGTCCGGAATCTTAATAAGAAGGTTGGTGTTTGCTTTTCTGGTGGTCGTCGTTGTGTCGTGTTGATGACCATTGACTTACAGCTGAAGGCTATCGACGAGCTCAAGGAGAAAGCGAACCGCGGGGAGCGGCTAGAAGCGACGCAGCTCAAGAAAATGGAGGGGGAAGCTGAGATCCGCAAGGAACTGTCTAGTCTTGAGATCACAGCCTAGACATTTGATCATCAGCATATCACGACGCATGCCATCTCTCGAATAATAGGTTTTGCTGAACACACGTTGCTACCGTTATGCATCGTCTGACATTCAAGTTCAGATTGACATTGCATTTATGCGAGGGCTGGGGTTGGATAATCATTAGATGTTACAGTACAGTATGTATGTATGAGGTTTTGATCTGCACCATGGTTGTTAGATATATGGTAATATGAATAGTATGTTTTTGGTGATCGGGGATCTTCGAATGTGATTTGGCGGAGGGGACTTTGTGAAGGCACAACGGTTGCTTGCAGAGAACGACATCAACATACTAGTGTAAGTTCCACTACGAAAAGGATCGTCTACCAAGTAACGCACATTGTGCATGAAAACAGGAACTTGAAATGAGCTGGACCTTGGTCGACTCCAAAGGGAACCATCAACAGCTGACAACGATAGTGAAGGATAGTGACCGCAAAATAGCAGGTGATCTGCACTGCCGCTGCACGCAGGCAACTCAAGTGGAGTTTCGAAGACGGACCCGAAAGGGAAAGGAATGAAGCGGGGCACTCTTGCAGAGGAGTGGCCCGGAAAGACTTTGTCCCTCGCATCAACTTGCAAGAACACCAGCTGGCGGTAGCTCCACCTCAGCTTTAGTTCCTACTAGGATGACCCGAAGACAGCTAGCTGAGAGACAACCCAATTCCATTTTCAAACATGAGAGATTTATCTCGGAATGAAGTGATTATATTGATGTGCAAAAAGGCTCTGTCAAGACGGTCAGAGAGAGGTATCGTTGTCCGCCAAGCAAACCACCATACATAGTACTTCGGACTTCCGGTGTTTGCCGAGCATCCACTTCAATGAACGTGCTAGTGTATCCCAGTACACACCCAGCCACTCCTTCTCTCATTCAAACGCTTACTTCATTATTGACACCGCACTATCTACCACAGCCGCTAACACCCTCTCAACTCTCCGTACAAGAATACCCATGGCACACCTCTTGCGCTCTACTCCTACTCCTCTCCCCTCCCACAGATCATGAAGCTGTCCGTAAATATATCGAGTCCGGTGGTAGGATATTAGCATTCGGTGTTGGCGTCAGAAAAGGCACTCTATTTGGATCGAGTCATGACTTTGGATCGCTATCCGCGGGTCTTGGTCTGGGTATGGTGAAAGACACCACTATACTCAGAGTCGCTGATGGAAGCGCATCCCTCTACATCTCCTTTTCAACTGCTACTGGAACAAGCGCGGATGTACTGATTAACGACACGGTGGTATCTGTATCCAGATTACCCACATGTCCTTTGGATATTGAAGCACACACCCTCGGTCGTTACGTGGAAGGGAATGCGCCTGCCGGTATCTTATCTCAAAGCGGGCTTATCGCGATGTGGAATTGCACACCACCCCTTCCCGATATCCTGCTGTCACGATCGCTATCCGCACTTGGTCTGCGCTTCTCCTCACAGAGAGCTGATCCCAGTCTTGAGCCTCACATTCTGCCTCAGTTTCTTCTGGCTCGTCCAGATTCGTGGCAGGTGCAGCACCGCATCGTAGAGGCGCTGCTCGATCATTTAAATCTTGGGTTAGCTGTCGGCGATGAATTACAGCGCAAGTGGGAGCCATTTATATTCGAAGATGCCAATGACGATTTCCACTTCCACTTCCCATCCTTCCCTCCTGCGGACAGAACTACCGATCACCCCATACTCGAACTCATTTCACCAAATTTCCTCTCAAACCCGAAAGTCAAACACGTACTCGTACCTTCAAAACCTCTAACTCCTGAGGATGAACGAATCTACACCCCACAATTCTCATCATCTGCCTTCTTCCGTGCCGTAGACGAGTTCCACGCTGGGACGGAAGACACAAACCCAGAAACTTGGCGCATCGGCGAAGCACTCATATACGGCGAAGTAGTCTCCAGCACCCAAACAATGTTTGACAAGTGCGTCTCACCCAATCACATCTATCCCATCGCACACTGAGACCCACTCTGAGTAGAAACCCATCTTTTCTCCGCGCACTCCCCTCTCCCATCGTCTCCCTCGCCACAGTACAATTGGCAGGACGTGGTAGAGGCGGGTAACGCGTGGCTCTCACCTGCAGGGTGCTTGCAGATGTCACTCAAGATTCGTGTCGGGCTCAAAGGGTCTTCATCAGGTAAGATTGGCGACTTTTCATTTAATAGTGTTCAACCATCTGATATCTGAAGATCGATATTGCGCAGTACCAGGCCCCACAATCCGTCCTTCCAACCTCGTATTCATCCAATACCTCTATGCGCTAGCAATCATCGACGCATGTCACATCCTAAACCCCCGCCTCTGAGTGGGCCCACAAAATCCGTCTGAAATGGCCTAATGACATTTATGGCCTCTTCCCGTCTTCAACTTCAAATACAAAATCAACGCCGGAACCACGGAAAATGGGCGGGATACTGGTAAATACCAGTTTTGGCGGTGGCGTGGCAGATATAGTAATCGGTACGGTACCTTCCTCCCTTTTTTGTTCAGTGACATGAACGCTCACAACATGCACTCAAAACTCATCAATAAAAATAAATAGGAAGCGGTCTCAACGTCCTAAACGCACCACCCATCGCCTCACTCGCCCAACTCGCATCTACACCTACCTCAGGGCTCTCCGTAGAACGTGTAGCGGCAGCGGTCCTCACCTCCTTTGAGCGCATATGGAATTCTTTTTTGCAGAATGAGGAACAGGGGTTTCAGCCGTTCATGGATCAATACCTCCGATCATGGTTACATTCGTACGTCTCTGTTATGTTTCGCTTTGTGTCAATGTTTTACTGTTTGCTTACTCGTGGTCTGAACAGAGACCAGCTGGTCACACTAACGAACCGGACTCCACACCGAAGTGTCCGCATCGTCGGTATCACTCCCGATCATGGGTTGTTGCGTACTGTGCCGATGGGCGGTGGAGAGTTCATTGATTTACAGCCTGATGGGAACAGTTTTGATATGATGAAGGGGTTGATATCGACGAAGAAGGGGTAGGTGGGAACGCCGACCATGCAGAACCGTTATGAAATCATTGATCAATCACATTACACTGGCATGCGAAAGACGCCCATCTCATTCAACACACTAAGATCAATCCAGTCCTTACACAAGAACGCCTAACCCGTCTGGCCTGACTGTGATATCAATCACTTCATCCGTCATTGGGTTGGTGTTTGGAGGGATACATTGTCTGGGCTGGAATTTCTTGTTTCCGAGAGATGCAGAGCAGATATTACGACGTGACTTCCATTGGGATGGTATGTGCACCGCTAATACTTTCTTTCCTCTATGCTTTGACTTTTTTTTGGCTCAAAGACCGCTATGTCGCGTTGATTCCTGGAGGTTTCAGCATCAGCATGTTTTACATTTTTGCACATGACACAAATAATTGTACTTGTCTTGCTGGGTCCAAGCTACTGTATCGTATACGCCAGTACGTATACGATGCGGTAGCTTGGACCCAGTTTATTCCACATGTAAATTTGTAGTAGTGTCATTACTTCGATATCGCTGTAACAGGGTTGTGGTAACTTTCCCGGGTATTCAGGTATCGGAAGTGACTCAGGAAAGTTCGAACCAAATAACAGGCTGCCGTTCCACTTACATGTCACATAAGCAACGCTCGATAATCTAATGAAAGGCTGCCACAGGAATATGAGTGAGCAACAAACAATTCCATCGCCATGCTATCATGAATGCATGCGAGAATCACACCACCTCCGAGTCTTCAGTATGATCCCGCAGCCACGCCAGCTCGAAAGTCGCGGGCAGGGAAAATCTGAAGAATGCATGTTCTCCACCAAGGACGAATGTGATCGACAAGTCGGTCATCGATACGCAAAAGCGGCCGTGTTAAGAAGTTGGTTGGGTCAATACTCCTGCTAAAAAAAATCGCGAGCCGCTCATTCTTGGGATATTTATCGAAGAGTCCTAGGCCCACGCTCAGGTCGAGTCAGCGCTTCGAAACATCGAAATCAGATTCAAATATCAAATGATACCCTAGTGAGTTTGCTTATCAGAGTTATCCAGTATCGTCGAGGATGCCGCGTAGCATGATGTAACCCAAGTCACCCGCCATACTGCACGCATCTAGTGAAATCACCACTGAAACGGCGAAACTTGGAGCGGTGAGAGATATGAAAATAAAAAAGCATGGGCTTCCAGAGGGACATCTTGATGGATGAAGAGTGCATACCAGCTGATGTTGTAGAGGAAGGATCACGTTAGCAGGATCCTTACCTTTCATAACGGCGAGCAGGACATCCCGAAAAAGGATTGAAGTCAAAAGCAAAGCCAGACATTAGGCCTATATCTCGCTCCGAGTCTGTCATATATGCGATTATCCCGGGGTTGAGATCGAATATCGATTTCCTGGGACCATCCCAGATATGACGTATAGATCGAGCGAGTCGCACACATAGCCCGACGTCTAGAGTCTGGAGGACGTGAGACTTAGGAAATGCATACAGCCTGAGTGAGAGATAAGTACCAAGTGTCCATACCTTCCTCGGAAATGCATCGATAAATTGAAGTACGATGTGTAACAAGGTTGCTACCGGTGAAGCTAAAATTTAAGTACGTTCCAAGAAAACCCCATCGGACTGAATATTTGCCTCTCTAACTTCCAGCGCTAATCGCTGCCACATCGTGAGGGTCACGTTCAACGGTTCAGACTTTCCTTTCCTATCATGTGATCATAATTTGGGCGGGCTTGACGTGGAGCATTGACCGTGACTGGCTCCCCGGGTTATGAATGGACCAGGCTACGCCTACGCCATTGCAAAAGTTCGTGGACGGTTAGATCATGTCTTAGCATCTGGAGTATTAAGCCAACCTACGTTCTCCCGAGCATTACGCGCACTATTCCTGTTGCCAAATGCCCGACATCTTCAAATAGCGCCGGAGCTCCCTCTCATCCCCTTCGACCCCGACAATCTCTTCCCAGGTCTCGTCAGACTCATCAGTATAACGAAATTGACACACCCCAAAGTCGATGAGCACCACTCATCTAGGGTGACTGCAAGATACGACAATGTTTCCTGGGCACATATCGGCATGGATGATGCTGAAAGATGCGAGGGTGCTCACGGCCTGCACGAGCTCCTGATATGCTGAACTAGGGACTGAATGGGGGTCTTGTGTAGTTGCGAGGTTCTCGCCTTGGATGTATTCCATGAAAAGCACCTTGGGGGATATGGCGCGACCTTTACCGTGGCCTGAAACGACCCGACCCAAACCATAGAGCCGGGGGATGGTGGAGCCCTGAAGGTGTCCAAGGCGTCTGTAGGCTTCAACTTCACATCTTAACGACCTCTCATACTCGCGGTAGTAGTATTCTTCCCACAATGAGCCGTCAAAGAACATTCTGTCCCATGGAAAGACTCTATAGTCTTCGCCCGGTGCGAGTTTTCATTAGCGGCGGACCAGGGGATGGGAGACAGCCTTGGGAGTGGGCTTTTGCGCTTGTAGTTGAAACGAGGGTCAAATTATTTAACTATTAATGGATTGAGGAGGCCGGCTCTAACAAGGACATCTTCGATTTCGACGAGTAAGACCGGGCATTTTGTGACAGGGGTAAATACCTTGCAGATGAGAGCAGCGCACATGAACGAGGATTTTTCGTCGTTTAAAAGAGATACCTGTGGTTGGAGGCGACCTCCTTGTGTGTAAGGCTCTTACACCATCGTCGCACAGGAGCTTCTAAGCTTTGGTCGAAATGGCGGAGTTTGAAAAAGTTACGTCATGTTACGGTGCCGTGCAACGCAGGCCTGCAAAGCAGAGGACGAACCTCGTATAAAGACTCGGAGGTTCACGACAGACATGCAACTGCTGTCGGCCAATTAGCTTTGTATACATTAGAGCGGTGCATCCGCGACTGTGTGTCTCCGTGTCGCCAGCATGGCAAGAAGTGGTGGAGATCACTACGCTACGACAAAGCCCGAAGGACAGCTGCTACTCCTACTCCAACATGTAGCCCCCCGCACGGCACCACATGTGTATCAGTCATCGTGCCAGCATGCAACGGCCCGGCATTTGCAAAACTTTCGGATGATCTCCCATTGATGACTATTGCGTACATCACGTCATGCGCGTTTTTTGTGTTGGTCTGTCCCAACTCCCGTTCCGCATCTATCTGAGTATGCAGTTGACGTTCGATGTCGGACAGAATTCGAGCATGATAATTTGCGCAATACTACTCATGCACATATCACGAAAGCGCCAGAGGACAAACCAACAGCAAAAAACGCGCATCAGGCATTGTGGACGCAATTGATAACCACCGAGCGAGAGTCGCAGAAAACTGACTAGTGACAGCACATCAGGACAGATAGTATATATATATATAAGATATCAGAGGGCAAACCGCAGAACTTGACCCATCTCTTATCTGTGACATATCTTCTGGCATAATCATCTTCTTTGTGGGCTGCAGCTACAGTTTTCTTCTACAGCCGTCGACGCAGTAGATTATCACTACCCCCTGGGCCATGTCCAAAGTTCTTTACCAGAAATGTTCATCAACTGCCAAAGAACGAGCCTTGGCGGATGTATGCTACGTGGGCTGAAAGCTATGGTGCACATTATTCGGTCTTGCTGCGAGGCTCGCTCACCTGTTTCTTATAGGGCCCATAATCTCCTTCCGCGTGCCTAACCAGCAGTTCATAGTGCTCAGCTCCCTAAAATCGGCTACTAAATTGCTCGATTTACGCGCCACTACGTATTCTGATCGTCCAAGAATATGGATGATGGAACTTGCGAAGCTGAATCTGAACGTGTTCAACATATCTTTCACTCACCCGTATTTCAAGACGTATCGTACGTTCCTCAAGAACAGTCTGAGTACCCGCACTATACAAACCTATCAGTCGCTGCAAACTGAACAATCTCGTGTGCTGCTTGATCTTCTACACAAGAACCCCGAACATTTCGCCGGTCACATCAAAAGGTAAAATTCTTGCGATTGCTTGTTTTACTTGTTTCTCATCGGAGGTGTAGGAATACAGCGGCCGTTATCCTTTATCTCGCATATGGCTGGAAGGTCATCGACAATGACGATTATTGGATACGTAAACTACAAGATGGCTTTGAATCCAGTGCCATGCTATCCCAGCCTGGACGTTGGTTCGTCGAAGTGATGCCATCACGTAGGTCCCCCTTCCATTTTTCGAGTTATCATAAAACTAAGCTAGTCAAACTTCCATGAGTGTGTTTCTTACCTTCATGGTTTCCAGGGGCAGGTTTCAAGCGCGTGGCCTTTCACATCGGGCAAAGGTTAAGTAGGCTTGACGGAACACCATTTAACTGGACTAAACAGCAAATAGTAAGCAATTTTACGAGTTCATATTATTCAGAGTCCTAACCCATTGTCGTCGCCGATCAGCAAAGCGGCAATTATACGCATTCCTTCATTTCAGAGCAGCTCCTTCAGGAGGATGGGTCCACGGTCAGCGCCCAACAAGAAGAAATTGCCACGTGGTGTAGTCATGGGATCTATGCAGCGGGAGCTGACACCGTAAGATATCTTTTGCACCCCTCCGTCATGTGAATTTTAAACAATTATTGACAGACAGCATCATCCTTGACATCTTTTATTCTGGCGATGATGCTCTATCCCGAGGTGCAGAAACATGCTCAGGCAGAGATCGATGCCATCGTGGGTCAGGACCAATTTCCCGCGTTCAAGGACAGAGAAAAGCTTCCGTACATCGGTGCGCTCATTCAGGAGCTCCTCCGATGGGCACCCGCGGCTCCGCAAGGTCTGCCGCATGACTTTTTTCGTCCTATCTTCCGCTCACTCTTAGCGACGCAGGGCTCCCGCACCACGCAATGGGGGAAGGCGTCTACGAAGGATACCGCATACCAAAGGGTGCGATCGTCATCGCAAACATTTTTTCCATCTCGCGGGATAAAGAAATGTACCCTGACCCATCGGAGTTCAGGCCTGAGCGCTTCCTCGGTCCCTCGCCCCAATTCGACCCCCGCAAGTTCATCTTTGGGTTCGGGCACCGTAGATGCCCTGGTGCGTGTCATTTACATGATACTATCCAAGCTACCACTGAACGGTGGCATCGTATTTCAGGGTTACATCTTGCCGAAGCCTCGTTGTACCTCAATATCTCTTGTATCCTTGCTGCGTTCACGATCGCCAAACAGCTTGATGAGATGGGGGAAGAGATCACACCTCCTGTAGAGTTCGAGAATGTTGGTGTACTCTGGTAACTCGTCCCTCTTTGAGCTTGAAACATATTCTTACATATCCAAAGGTACCCTAAACCATTCAAGTGCAGGTTCATCCCAAGGAACAAGGATCTGTTGGCAACTCTCTCGCAATAATTAGCATATCAACCGACCTGGGCGAAACCCCATGGATTAGTATGTTTACAGTAGATCATCAAGTGGTGCTGTGATTGCATGATTGCTTGGTACTGAGAGAATTCAAGCGGTCACGCAGCCATCTGCACTTTTTTCGCGTTAGCAGCCATGAATCTCATTCAGTATCTTCAATGTATTAGCCTATTGACGCTCGTCTATTTCATCCTTATCCGGTCCCGTTGTTGGCATTTCGCTAACACTCATTTTTCGTACGACTTCTAGCCACTTATGACGTCATAATGTATGCACGGCGTGCACCGTGTAGGAAAGTGCACGGGCAGCCCGTGCTAAATTGACAATCTGGATCCGTCTGACACTCGAAATCACCACCAAAACATTGACGTCATTCACTGTTCGGCAGTGTGATTATTGATAGAGTACCTAATGTCAAGGAATGGGAAAGGCCCATCTTGGCGTGTCGACTGAAAAGAAAATATCAGCGGACAACGATGGGCTATTACTAAATTAGAGACAGACCATGTCAACACCAGCTGGCAGCAGCTCCACCTGAGTGGGAGTAAACTGATCCTGCTGGCGCACGACCGAATTCGCTACAGTAAGCGATCACCGTAGTACGTCGTACCATGATCGGCGGGACTATACTAGACTGTGATGCGGTGGCCATACCGTTTGCGATTCGGACGTTGAGGGCTTTAAGATTCTATGTATGGTGAGGGAACATAGCTCCAGGGCATGGCAGCGTGCAAATTCCTACGCTCATATACTATCGGTGACAGAGCAAGTCAAATTCGAGGCCTGCTGGCATGCAAATCACATCTATTTGAATAATGGGTTCTGCCTAAACCCCAGTCGTGAAGTCCTGAACACGACACTTATAAAAAGTAGCAGTTTTCCTACCGTGCCCCAACTGTGTCCACCCACATTTATTGATCCTGTGTCGCATCGCACAATGCATTTCTCCTTTGTCGTCGCCGTCGTTGCTGCTTTGACAGCGTCTATGTCTATCAATGCATGCCGTACTTTTTGCGATGAGACTGTAGATTGCTGCCTTGGTGAGGCATGCAAGTCAATATACATTCCCAGCAGTGTGAGTATGAGTGGCTTGCATCCAATACTTATTTCGTCAAGACTCACCGGCATGGTACTAGGAACAATTTATAAACCTTTGCGCTCCGTAATAAATCAAGCCTGAGTGGCAAGTCGCGACAGTGAGTCGTGTTTCTGGTGTCGCGTTGGCGCAGCGTGGTTGATGCACGATGCATAACTAGTTCATGCTGGTTCGACCGAGATGCTTGCTTCTGGACAAATTCACTGCCACTTGAGTAATGGAGGCATTGGAATAGAATAGAGGAACAAGCACTCGATATACGATCTTGACTTGAATACGTAATATGCGACTGAAGTACCTACGACATACTATCGATCTTGTTGTAAGCTTGAACATCAAAAGCCTCATGGGTTGAACAAGACGCATTCCAGCTGAACGGAATCTTAGTGAGCCTGCCTAATGGAATGCAGTCCCCCGCGTGTTTAGGAGTTTAGGAATTGGACTCCAACATAGGGTGGTGGATTCCTTGTCGTTGTGGCAGTTGACGACTATAATAGCTCTGACCCCTGGTCAACTCCAAAGGGAAACACCAGCAGCTGGCGAATGATTGTACCTGGCAAAGATTGTCCCTCGAGATAGCACAACACCGGCTGGCAACTGCTACACTTCGGTTCTAGCTCTCAAGGTAGGGGTATAAGATCATCCCCGACACGACCAGTTTCGTCGGGGCTAGCAATCACCGTACGTCGTGCCGTGGGAACTAGGTTCGTGATACAGTGCTGCGAGAGCCAGTACCATTGGCCATTCAGCATCCTACGGTGCAGGAATTTTTAGCTCTCATGCACGGCAGAGTGTAAATCCGTACAGCTGTTGTCGATGATCAAATTTGAGGTCTTCCGGCATGTAAATAACGTCCCTTCGAATAGTATGTTCTGCCTAAACCCAGTGAAGTCCTGCCCAGAACGCTATTGTCAGGACATAAAAGCCAGTAGTTTCGCCCCTCCTAATTTATTACTCCTCAAATTACATCGCACAATTGTCCTCACCATTGTTACTGCTTTGATATTATCTGTGTCTGTCAGCGCGGATGACGATACTATGTGCACCGACCCTTGCTGTAAGGCCTTCCCTGAAGAAAAGTGTCGTCGATGGGGACGCTATAGAACCAGAGAAGAGTGAGTATGAATAGTTTGCTACGCATGATGTCTCCAAAACTCACCGGCCTCGATAAGATCAATCCATACATGTCTGGCATTTATATCAAACCTGAGTAGTATGTCGCAGCAGTGAGTCGTGTTCCTGTTTTTGCGATGATGCGGTACAGCGTGGTTGATATACGATACAAAGTAGTTCGTTGCTGATTGACCGAAATGTTGCTTCTAGACAAAGTTCCCTGCCGCTTGAGCAATAGAGAACTTGGAATATTGAATGCTGAATATACGAGAGTACACAACATGCCACTGATGCATTGGTCTTGTCACGGTTGTAAGCTTGGAACATCAAAAACCTGGTGGGTTCAATGAACAGAATTGCTATTCAATTAGAACCTAAGGTTAGCTTCCGTGCCAATATCATGCGGTCTGCGAGGCGTTGGAGGCATTGGACACCAACCATACGACATTGCAGAGAGAAGTCAGACTGGAATCATGATTGCGCTTGTAACAAAAGTCATCCAGATTCCAGACCCTTGAAGTCCAGACAATCGTTCGCGGCGCGCGCCGTGCGGACACACTGCAATGCTTACATCATCCACTGTTTTGACATCCATGACCGGTCGCATAAGTAGCTTTCCTCTGACCTCATGTTCGACACTGCAAGGAAATACGTGTACGACCGGCGTCGTGGGCTATTCGAGACGTCGGTTGTTCTCTGTGGAGCCTATACTGTGAGCCGTTATGTCAATGAGAGATTGGAGGAAGTCAAGGAGAAGGTTGTCAGAGGAAGAGCTGCTCGAGAGGCGTATGTTCGCCGACTTTGTCAAAGATGATTGATTTACCTGCTCATTCATTGTTATTAGACTTCGAAGACGCTTTCAGAGTACTCATGATGATGCATCTTTCACTATCATGGCACTTATTCCTACACTGGCTGAGCAAATTCTCGAGGAGATGGATGTCGAGTCGCTCACCAACGAGCTTCAATCTCTGTCGCGCACATCTCGTCCTCGATCTCGCTTTCAACATCCAGAGTCTCATTCCGAGTCTGAAGTTAGCTCCGCCTCAGATGTGCACTCAGATGCTGGGTCTGCGTCATTGTCGTCCTATTCATGCATTGATGGAGAAACATCGTCGAATATGGCAGCTTCAACCGACAGTTGGGTCGATCGCTTTTCGAGTTCCTCATCACACAGGAATAAGAGTGAGCAGCTACAGCAACCTCACGATTTCCTTGCCTCTGCCGGCAGTCAACTATCTGATTCAATTACCACCGCTAGTTCCTCACTGAGCTACAATCCTGGTGCCCCATTTCATGTGAGCTTCTCGTATCTGGAATAAGCGAATTCATATTTATGCGCAAATTAGGAACCACAATCTTCTATGTCTCTCTCTATGAGTGAGAGTAGCACCCGAACGAAAGCACAATTATGGAAGGAAGTAAAAATATTAAGTACGTTGTTATGTCCAGTATACCGTACAATTTGCTCACACAATATATATCAGCACTGACACGTACACTGACGACACTCTATACGACCACTTTGCTGTCCCTCCTCACAAGCATACAGCTAGCCCTTCTAGCACGTGAACGCTACATAACCTCGGTCCTTTCTACCGAACGCGCCGAACGTATCAGCGAGGCAGCACCTACGCTTTCTGGCCTCATCTTCCGTGAGGCTGTATCTCGTGTCGTTGACGTGGAGGTGATATGGCCGGCATGGTCTGCAGGTCAAGAAGACTGGGAAGAAGAGGATCGAAGGCATATCAGAGGAGACTGAGATGCGCTTCTTGACACTTAGCTGGTGGATACTACACGTAGGATGGAAGGATGTAGCCGCAAGGGTGCGAGGTAGTGTCGAAGCCGTCTTTGAGGGGTATGTACTTTCTTTAGGTAGGTGCTTTACTAACTTCTTAATGTCAGAGTATCCCTTAAGACGAAATTGTCACCTTCTGAGCTCCACGTACTGATCCTTGACGTTCGACGACGCGTTGAGCGGGACGGTACAGGTGACAATAGAGTGAGCATACCTGGCCGGTGAGTAGAGTCCCCCTCGCTGCCACACTATCGGGTTCATTGACTCACTCTACCACTTAGCTTTCTTGGCTCCCTCCTTCCACCGACTCCCGAAACAACAGCCCATGTACTTGCACAAGGTGGTGCTCTCCCCCAAGTCCCCTCTGAATTTTCACCCCTTCCTGGTTCTTCCATTTCGTCGTTACGTGACAGCAATGACTCTCCACCGATTGCTGGTCCCACCCCTCGTGTTGGTATCTTTCCAACCCCTCCCTCATCCATTCCCTCCTCTTCTTCCCCATCACCACCCTCCAGCCAACCTGCCCCAAATACAACGTCTCCACCCCTGATCTCGCAACCTCGCGCTGAGTTCAATGATCCGATATTTTCCTCCCTCCTCTCGCAGACCAGAGCATATCTGGCCGGCCCAGATTTTGCTTACGCCCTCAGCGCTGCGCTCGATCGCGCCACTGTGGTGCTGGTCGACGGACTCCGGGCGAAGGTGTTCGTAGACTCGAACACGGCGAACGTCCCAGAAGGGCTGTCAGCTACCAATCCGATTGATTTGACTGTAGAAGAAGAAATGAAGGAAGAGATAAAGATACGGTTGGCAGGCCTTTTGCCTGGACTAGCGCGGTGGAGCCAGTTGGCGCTGAATGCAGTGCCCAACGAACTGGTAGATGTGAGTGTTCGCAATTTTTTGTGGTCCTTTGCTTTCTGTTGCGTTTGTGCGATTGCTTTCTTTCGAGCATTGGATACCACGCTCATCTCACTTGATTCACGTCATGCTGACTCTTTTAACAGAATGTCATGGCGGTGCGCGAACTCGGTGCGCTGGAAGCTATTGTCATGTCAGATTATGAGGATCGATACTCTAATTGATGTCGAGAAAGAAAAAAAAGGCATCTATTACCTATTACCTGTCTGGATTGATTAATGACATGTATGCCTGGTGGATATAGCCCTTGAGTAATTCATTAACGTCAGCATGCATCAA